CGTTATATGTCCTATCTCAGCAACCCGTTAATCTAATCTGAACTACTATCCTGAAAACTCGTCTGCTCTATGATAAGCAGCTCCCAAACTGTATTCAATGTCATCAAGTCAGGTCTCTTGGTGTGAAAGAGTGAGATAGATATAGGACAGGTCCTAAATGAGCACGCTCCATTGAACCGAGTTCAATCAATTAGTTCGATCTCTCTCGAAATCAATGAGTTCCGATCTTATGATTCTCATTACTTAACAAGAATTCATGAATATCTGGCACGAAAAATTCTAGGAAACACACAGATGTTGAAGCAAGAACAAGAGTAGGAATATATATTACAACGACCTGAATCTGGGAATAAGGGTCATTTTAGATAACACGAACATATGTACAGCTATACAGCAATACACATGGCAATTGAGAGAATAATAGAGATAAACATAGTAGATAGCCTGATAATGATCGACTCCTTGTCAGATTCACAGAAAATTACCAAAAATCAATCCATGGTGAAAGTGACTAGATGGAGCTGTTAACAAAAGGAAAAATATCGCAAGGAAACCAGGAAGGACATAATGTCAACCTGATGTGAGAAGCAACGGAACAGGAATGCAAGGCGACGATAGAGCAGGTGAACAAGCCGCAGAAGGAATCAAACTCGCAACGAACCACAAAAAAGAAAATTGATAGCAAGAATTATTTACCAACAATAAAGAGATAATGATGTGGAGAATCGACTGAGGAATGGAATACTATATCAAAAATCATTGGCATAAACTATCACATAATAGGAAACACATCACCAAATCAACCATTGTATGAAAAAATGAGAGTAATGAATCGTGAGGAAATTGTTTTATTCAATAGAGAAAAATCATCCCATTGCAGCGTTCCAGAACACCTTTATACAAAAAAGTAGTTATCGAGAACCTTAGATGTGAGTGTGGAGAAATAGAAACAATTATTCAGCATGTGCTACTATAATGTCCTGAGAATATTAGAATTATACAAAAAAGTAGTTATCGAGAACCTTAGATGTGAGTGTGGAGAAATAGAAACAATTATTCAGCATGTGCTACTAGAATGTCCTGAGGATATACGAACTTGTGACGAGGTGTAACGTTCTATTGTCAAGAAAGAACCATACCCAATCAATGCACAAAGCATAGTGTGCAAACCAACATTTCATAAATTCGAAGCGGTGAGTACCCTAGATGTTAGTGTGGGGAAATAGGAACAATTCAGCGTGTGCTACTAGAATGTCCTGAGAATATACAAATTTGTGACGAGCTGTACCGTTCTATTGTCAAGAAAGAACCATACCCAATTGATGCAAAAAGTATAGTGTGCAAACCAAAATTTCATGAATTCGAAGCGGTGAGTAAATTTTTGATGAAAAGTAATATTGAAATATAAATAATTGGAACATTAGATACTTGAGAACATTCCAGAAAGTGAATCGGTAGCCAGAGAAAGAAAAAAACAGTCAGGGGTATCGTGATGAGCAAGACATTTCACAAGGCAACTAACTCCTTTCTGAAGAAAATGGAACCGACAAACCAATAGATAATGGTTGTGTCGGGAGACGAAGGCTAGGAAAAACAAAGAAGAAGATGATTATCATGGCATAATGCCATCAATGTATTGATGAACCAAGTTCATTGCGATTCGAAAAATGACCAGATCCAGGATAGACCCAAGATGTCTCAATTAGACTGGGAGAGACCAGTCACCAGTCATATGACTATTACAAATTGGCGCATAACGTAAAAATAACAGCCAAAAACTGATAGAGAAATATAGATATGAAAGATATACAACTAATAGCCCTGGTATCAAATTGTTCACTGATTCATCAATCCACATGTGAATAAACGTATTTTAGTTACGACAGTGCCTTTACCCATAGATGAAATCCCACATTCACTGAAAAATATCACTATTATGACGTCGTCAGATTGTACGCATGGGTATTGGCAGATTCCGTTGTCAATTAATTCTCAACCCTATACAGGGTTTCGCTTTGATGGAAAAATCTGTGTTTTCTGTAGATTTTCAACAAGTATTTTGGGATCAGAATTTGAATATTTCGTCTAGATTTACGTTGATGATATATTGGTAATCAGTGAATCTTTTGAACAGCACATTGAACATGTAGGCTAAGTATTTAGCCGACTGAAGCAGGCTGGTTTTACATTAACATTGAAAACATGTTCTTTTTTCGACAAGGAATTCCTTCTTTGCGATATATCTGTAGATAAGAATGGTTTTCGCCCAGACCCTAATCGGGTTCAAGCAATAGTGGATTATAAAAGACCAAATAACGGTAAAGAAGTGCAACAGATTCTTGGTTTAGTAAATTTTTATCGGTCATTCTGTGAGAATTTTGCTACTGCTGCAGCACCTTTAGTAATGCTCTTGCGTGAAAAAGTAAGATGGAGATGGGAAAAGAGAGAGAGGAGGCTTTTCAGCAGCTCAAGGAAAAAATGCAAGACAATACGTTACTTTACCATCCACAAGTGGATGTTCCGTATCGTTTACAAGTTGATGCGAGTGATGTTGGGCAGGGTGCTCAATCATTTCAAGTTATCGAGGGAAAACGTTATGCGATTGCATAGGCAAGTAGAATATTGCTAGAAAGAGAAAAACGATATCATATCAATGAACGTGAAGTATTGGCCCTGGTGTGGGCTTTGGAGAAGTTTCGAATAAACTTGTTAGGAACAAAGTTTGTGGTATATACGGATAATCGTTCAGTTCATTATTTACAGAGTCGATTATTATCTTCTAGAAGCACTAGGTATACCTTGGCGATTCATGAATTCGATTTTACTCTACAATTTATTCCAGGTAGGCAAAATATTATAGCCGACGCTCTATCACGTCACGCTGCGGTGCGTCTACCAGTTATATCGGACAAGTTATTTGAGATTCTTCCAATTCTCAAATTACCACCAGAAATACAGTCAAAGTTGAAAAAAAATTTGACAGTATCAGCAAAATGATGTAAAATTTTCAGATATTATCAATAATTCAGGAAATGATTTGAAATTACAAATGAGATTCTCAATGTATGAGCAGGTTCTGTATGTTCGTACGGGAAATGATGATTGTTGTCTAGTGTGTGTCCCGAAAGAATTGCAGCGGGAATTTGTTGAAGCTTATCACTGCACGTTGGGTCATTTCGGATCGTACAAGACATGGCGAGCTTCAAAACAAGAAGTTTGGTGAAATAATATGTAACAGTCCGTGAAAAAAAATGATTGAGGAATGCGATATTTGTCAAAATACCAAATGTGGACCGTTACCGAAGCCGTCTTTTGAGTCAATTATTCCTGATCAAAAGAATAGGTTAATTTCGGTAGACCTTTTTGGACCATTACCAACGAGTGAAGGTGGGGTTACCTTTGTGTGTGTAGTGTTGGATGTTCTCACTGAATATGTAACATTTAATGCATTGAAAAAGGCGATAACGACGGCAATATTGAATCGGTTAACTAAGGATTATTTTCCAAAGGTTGGATTGCCAGAAAAGGTCTTGTCTGATCATGGGAGTCAATTTACTGCGTTTAAGTGGAAAAATACTATTGAGCCTCTCGGGGTTAAGGTCATGTTTTCTTCTGTTCGCCATCCTCAAGCAAATCCGGTTGAGAGAGTTATGCGAGAACTTGGTAGACTATGTAGAACGTATTGCCATGAGCATCATACACGGTGGGCCATAGAATTAATAAAGTTTTCAACATTTTTAAATAATCTGATTCACGAATCAACCGGGTATACTCCAAATGAATTACATTCTGGAGAAAAGCCATCACAACTATTACCACCGAATTTACATATTCCGGGCTCTGACCAGAAGGGTGCTCAGGATCAAGAAAAGAAGTTGATCTTAGCTAAAGAAACTCTGTTGAGTAAAGCTGCACGTCGAGCAATTTGTCGTCCTCCATTGAGGAATCCTGGATTATTTTCAATTGAGGAGATGGTTTTATTGAAGGCGAATCCAATGTCGTTTACCATAAGGAAGGAAACAGAACAATTCTTATTATTATTTGAAGGGCCTTTCCGGGTGAAAAAACGTATAGCTCCTGCTACTTACGTCCTTACGGAAGTGAATAGCGATAAGGAGCGGGGTACATTTCATGTGACTCATTTGAAGAAATATTTTGCGGGAACATGAACGTTACCATAATTCTTAGTATGGTAAGTTCCTAGGAAAGGGAGCAAGTAATATAGATATGAAAGATATACAACTAATAGCCCTGGTATCAATTTGTTCACTGATTCATCAATCCACATGTGAATAAACGTATTTGAGTTACGAATCTGTAAACTATACATATTATTTCAAATACTTATTCTATCACACTTGACAATTTGAATATGGAAATCGACAAGCAATGAACAGTGATCAGGAGAATTACTTACCTGGTACCAGGGCTTCTAGTTGTATATCTTTCAGATAACAGTCTCAATATTATCCCCAAAACGCTACCAAATTGTTCCGATGACATCAGTCAACAAAACTGACAAATTATACACAGTCATTCCTAGGATACCTTAACATTCACTTATTCCAAAGTTTGATGATCCTGCTACATGTTCACGTATTCATTACTGCTTTAAAATACCTTGGGAACGGTTGCTATTAACAGACCCATAACGCCCGGAGGAATAATTATTCATCACAGAATATATAGATCATTTCCTCGAATCGATATGTCGGCGATATAATGATCATGAAATATTCTGGTGTTATCAGAGATAACACTTTCTGTGATGTTCAATCACCCAGTCTCTGTAACTGATATAATTCCTGAAGGAACGTTATTCAAGATTTCAACGGTGATGGGTCCATAAGCTATGAATGATATCTGAACTCAGTCAGAAGGGTACATGATTTTGCCATCTCCTTAGTCATACTATTTCGACATTTCTCCAATTCAATCCAGCGAAAATCAAACACGGATTGAAGGGCTTATTACTATTTACAAATAAAGTAAATACTCACATCACTACGGTGTTTAACATTGAAGTCAATATTTGTACGGACCGCTCGATGGTGCAGCGGTTGTGGAGGTCTGAAATTGTTTCCTAAAGGCGCCTTCGGGTGTTTGGCATCCCCCTGCATCAGACGCCGCAGACCAAGCATCTGCAATAGACAAGTGAGAAATGAAGAAAGAGTTCCGGTCACTTATAAAACAGTCGATATCAATAATCATCTGATTGATTGAATGCCAAAAATATAGAAATGAGCTCCTTCGACAATCGTTTTGGTGCAAGGATATTCGATATGAAATGGCTGTATTGAAGGAATTTATACAGGGTGTTACAGAATTCGACTGACAACGCTCGACAGGTGATAGCCCTCATGATTTCATAATCACTGAGATAGGGACATACGGTTTTCAAGTGTTCAGTTCTCGAGATACAGGGCGTTATAGTTGAAAAATAAAAATAGTTGTTTCGCAATATCTCAAGAATCATCGAATTTAATGCATTCAACTTCGATATATAATTTCATCTTTGAATGTGTCATTTCTTGAATTTTGATCATTTCCAATTTCTCGAACTAGTTGTTCAATTATGTTGAAAAAATGAATCACCTTCAAGTGAGCTTGAACGAACAGTTATCGACATATTTGACCCAAAATAGAAGTTTGCATAGTAATTTTTCATCTTCCTCAGTAGTAGAAAATCACAAAAGTTTTTGTTTTCTTCCTATACGTGGAATAACTTTTCCTGTTCAGCTATAGAATGGGATCTGAATAGTATCTAATCTATTCAACACAACCCTATGTAGCGCACCATTTCATAAAATTCTCGGAATGTCTTTCCGGTCGAAATATTAACTATTAAAAGATGGAACCATATACCGAATTTGAATGCATTATATTCAATTTTTCTTGAGATGAAAACCTATTTTGATTTCTCAACTTCAAAGTCTTGTATCTTGAGAGATAGAGAGAAGGGAAGTCGTTGCTGACTAGTTGGAGATGAAACTTAGTAGTGGGGAAGCAGCAGAGTAAAAGTGAAACTCATGCAAGTTTAACAACGTTGTAATCAACCTTACCAAAGATGTAAGTTCAAGTGTTTCCCAATCTATTTACACTCCTTAATCATTGTAGCATTCCTGATGATGTAAATGAACATTCCCGAAAGCTTGAATAAACTTTAAAGAGTATTCCTTTCACATTGCTGCTACCCCCAATATACACTGGTTTCATATATACAGGGTGGCCTATCGAAAACGCACCGCAAGCCATTACAGGCTGGGAAACAACGTTTCGATAAAATCCGAAAACAGGTCAAGTTTGTTTGCGAGGGGAAAACAATTCGACGTAACAAGAATAGTAAAATCTTCAACCCCCTGAGTAGGGGGGTCACCCCAACATTTTATTCAAATGAGAAGGGTGGTCAAGCGATACCTCTTTAGAAGGGGCTTGTCATTTCCTATACAGTGCTGCTCAGTTTTTTTAAATCTATCTACTTTTCCAGAAAATATGGAGCGTTGAAACTCCAACCATCATGTGGGACGAAAAATACAAAAATCGGTTCGAATGTACTTCACAACTCATTTAGTAGTCAAGTAAATGTTCGAATTGCTGTCCGTCAACTTGCATACAGTGGTATAAGTTATTTTCAAACCATATTCGTACATTCTGGAGCATTTGGGGTGTCACTTCGCGACATACGTTAATGATTCTTTGTCGCAACTGTTCTGATGTGTCTGGTGGTGTTTTATAAATAAGGCTTTTGATGTGTTTCTACAAAAAAAAATCTAAAGGACTTAAGTCGGGTGACCGAGGTGGCCATTCTATTGGGCTTCGTCGTCCTATTCATCGTCCTAGAAATGTGTCATGTAAATAATTGCGCACATTTCGGGAATAATGAGAAGAAGCTCCGTCTTGTTGAAAAATCAGTTCCTGTTCATTGTATGCGGGATCGTTCTCAATGATATTTGTTAGAGCTGGGTCGATGGTATTTTGTAGTAAATCCAAGTACATATCGCCTGTTAAATTTCCAGGAAGGAAAAAAGGTCCTACAATGGAATTTTCGAAAATACCAGCCCACACATTTAACTTCTGGGAGTGTTGCGTTTGTGTCTCGTGAAAAATCCTTGGATTGGTGTCAGCCCAGTATCTGCAATTGTGGCGATTCACTAAACCATTGAGGAAGAAGGAACACTCGTCCGAAAAACATACATTGAATAGAAAATTACTATTGTGTAACGCTCGCTCACTCATAATTTCGCAAAATTGCAAGCGACGATCAAAGTCATCTTCATTCAGTTCGTGCACTAAGCTAATTTTGTAAGGATAGAATTTGTATTTTTTCAATACCCGTTGGACACTGGTACGAGACACACCCGTGACAATGGCCAATTGTCTTGTACTTAGCGTACTATCAACTGCAACTTGCCCCAATACTGCTATCTCCGTAGGTTCATTTAGTACTGGATTTTCAAGCTCTCCTTTCTTGTTATGAACTGAACCTGTTTCGCGAAATTTTTTCACCAATTCGCGACAAATTCTTCCAGAAGCATGTTGGTCAGGATGCCGTTGGTTAAACAACTCCGCGACCCGATTTCCACATTCATCGTTTTTGAAAAAAAGCTCAATGATTTCCACTGTGTCTGCAATTGAATAGACCATGATAATACATTTTAATGTCAACAATTCGTGAAAACTTCAACCACGACGGGTATCTAGCAACTACTTGACCTGAGTCAAATGTGAAGAATGAAATCCTATTTATTTTTTACTCTCTAAAATGAGCCTAAACAAATCTGTGTATCGGCAAAAACAGCGAATCGGCAAAAACAGCGAATTCATTTGAAAGAACTTATTGCAATAAAGTACAATTGAACCGATTTTTGTATTTCTCGTCCCACATGATGGTTGTAGTTTCAACGCTCCATATTTTTTGAAAGAGATTTGAAAAATCTAAGCAGCACTGTATAGGGAATGACAAGCCCCTTCTAAAGAGGTATCGCTTGACCCCCCTTCCCATTTGAAAAAAATGTTGGGGTGACCACCCTACTTAGGGGGTTGAAGAGTTTACTATGCTTATCACGTCAAAATGTGTCCCCCTGGCAAACAAACTTGACCTCTTTTCGGAATTTATCGAAACGTCTTTTCCCAGCCTGTAATGCCTTGTGGTACGTTTTCGATGGACCACCCTGTGTATAAAGAAAACTATGTGTATAAGCTGTTTTCCATGTAACCACTCAAGTTAGTAAGTTTTTCCAATTTTTACATAAGATACCATATTTTTATAAGGAGTCTTTGTATTTTCGGATGTCTCGATAATAAAAATGAAATTTTTCGAAAGCTCGACAAATCAACGAAGAGTCTCTTCTTTAATTAAGGGACTGCAACCTCGAGGAAAATAGAGATTTTAGCTGTTTTCCTAACACATAGTTTTCTTCAACTAGTCCGGTCAGGAGACTACCCTTTTACTATATATATATACTGGGTGTATTTAAATAACACCGAAAAAATTCAAGAGGTGATTCCCTGTCATATTCTAGCAGATAAAATTTATATAAACATGTGACCTCACTAACTCCGTTTTTGAGATACAGGATGTTGAGGTTGGAAACGGTTGGAAATATTCTGATTGTTTTTATTTTCCACCCCTCTCTATAAGCATTCATGGTGCCAGAATTCAGTATGGTTGGAGTCTGTGAAAGTCTCAAAATTTCAAAGTGATTTTAATTGGGGTTTCTGAGTAATCCCAATGGAAGTCTTGAGAACACGCCTACATTAAAATTTGGAGTCAAATCGTATTTTTATTGTTTGCTCAAAAATTGAGCTAGATACAAAAATTACACAGAGGATGAAAAAGTTTTTGTTTCAATAGTTCAATCTAATGAAAATATGAAAATGAAGAATGAAATTTACCCACTGTGACGCCACTGAAAATATTATTCCGAATCTAATTCTCCAGAAGAAGCCTTATATTACTATTGACAAAACCACAACGTTTTATTGAAATTGCGATAAAAAGACAACTGAGTAATGAATAAAACAACGATTTTTCATGGAAATATCAATACCCTTTTTCTCGAAAACGAGGCAAGTTAGGACACATGTTCATATTATGAACTTTATTTTCTTAAATATCACAGGGAATCACTCCTTGAATTTTTTTGGTGTTATTTAGATACACTCTGTATATATATATATATATATACATATCAGACGGAAGAGGACCCTAGCTTTATTATTATTTGAAGAATACTTCTGACTCTCTGTTAACTCATGATAAGTTGAGCTTATTTGTGAATACCAATTTGCCAACTGGGCAAAGTCACTCTGATTCCTCACAAAAATAAAGTCTACTGTTTATCTGGAGAATTTGATTTTATATTTCATAGGAATATTTTCTTTGTGAGTATCATGTCACGGAAAGACGATCGGTCAACGCAGTCGAATGCCAGAGTGTGGGGTATCAGCTTCCTTGTGTCGTTAATCTCTAGCTATTCCGAACAACTTTTCAATGATATTATTTCACCATCACAATGTCAATGTCATAGGCTCAGTATCATTGATCTTATCTGAATTTCCATATTTCTGATTCTAAGACATGATTGGTATTATTGCTTTATACATAGTGAGCCATAAGTGCGTCGGAGCTCGTTTCCTCGAGTTCTATAACAGCGGAATCTTGAATCGAAATTGAATGTGAATAAGACTTCAAGGTTCATAATATGAGATTATTGACGCATATATAGGAAGCACTGAAAAAAATTCAGAGAGTCTGGATGATTTTTCTTGAATAGCATATTCTTTGGAGCATTTCTGTGACCTTTCTCCACCCCTATAATATCTTCGACTATATCTCGATCATGCCAAAGTTATGAATTTTGTTGTCGTAATAATGTCATCTGCAGTTCCATACCGAATAAATCACTGTCGTCAATTTGAGAGGAAATCATCCCAAAATCGGTCGATGAAAAATAAACCGTGAGTTACCTGGAGGATATTCCTTTCCTCATATTATACAGTATGGCTAAAAATGGTTTTCAATTCGGAACTATTTGAAGTGATCTTTCCCAAGTTCTTCTATAGTTCTTGACTCTCTGATTTCAGAACAAAACAAGGTTATCTTCATCCATATAGATATTCGTCACTATCTCTGAATTAA